ATCAACACCACCGTTTTCAAAGGTTAGAACTATGATTTTTGGGTAGTAAAAATGAAAGCTTTCTTGAAAGCTCAAGGTTTGTGGGAGGTAGTATAATAAGATTATGAATCACCTCCACCAAGAGCAAACCCAACTTTGCTCAAATTAAACAACAAGAAAATGATGCTTTAAAGCCTTGAGCTATTCCCAGGCTTAGCAAGATATTGTCCGCTTTGGGTTGAACCCCTCCGGCACGCACAGTTTTGTTCTTGAGCTAGAACCAACTCAATAGCCCAAAAGGCCTCTTGCTAGTCTAAGGCTTGCCCTTCATTATATACATCACCTCCACCTTGTGCTTACCCGATGTGGGATTCGCCTAAGGTAAGCTAACATCTCAGACTAGCACCTCATCTGGTGCGGATGTTACACTTTGCCCCCATTAGGGACTCAGTGTCCTCGCCAAGGTTTGCCCCACCACCCACTAGAGGGACAAGGCTTGGCTCTAATACCAAGTCTATGGCATCCTAGGCTAGCAAGATACTTTAAGCTTTGGGCCGAGCCCTCTTAGGCTCGCACGATTTTATTCTTGGGCTAGAATCAACTCAATAACGCAAAAAGCCTTTTGCTAATCTAAGGCTTGCCTTTCCTTATATATATCACTTTCACCTTGTGCATAGCCGATGGGAGATTTGCCTAAGGTAAGCTAACATCTCAAGCTAGCACCTCATTTGGTGTGGATGTTACAAAGAAAGCATGGTATTTGTTAAAGGAGGAGTTTCAAGGTTCCGAAAGAATAAGCATGTGAAATGCAAACTCTTAGAAGAGAATTTTAAGCTTTAAAAATGAAAGATGGTGAAAGCATTAAAGATTATAACATAAGACTGATGCAAGTAGTGAACCAGCTAAGAATGAATGGAGAAGAAATTTCATATCAAAGGGTGGTAGAGAGAATTCTCATCACTTTGCCTAACAAATATGAATCTGAAGTTGCTACCATTGAGAAATCTCATGATTTGGCGAAGTACTCTGTACAGAACTCATAGGAGCTTTGCAAGCTCAAAAGCAAAAGCTGTCCATGAGAAATCAAGTATCCAAGGAAGGAGCTTTTCAAGCAAAGGTTAAACATAAAGAGCCAACTATTGTGAAGTATTCTCCATGTCGAATCTATAAGAAAACTAGCCATGAAGAGAAGGATTGTTGGCATAAAGGAAAACCGTAATGCTACAAATGCGAGAGGTTTGGGCATACTCAAAATAATTGCAGACTTAAGGAAGAAAATAGCTCAAACATGGCACAAGAAGTATGGGGAGAAGATTATTTGTTCTAAAAAAAATAAAAAAAATATATTTTGATGAGAAGTGTACCAAATGGTGAGAAGTGCACCAAGAAGTTACAGAAGCTTTTTGGAGAGAAGTGCTCCATATAGAAAAGAAGAAAGTCGGAGAGTAAGTACTCCATGAAGAATTAAAATGTTAGAGAGTAAATGCTCCATACAAAACAAATTAAATTAAGAACTATGAAGAGAAAATGCTCCATGTAACATTGTGATTTGGAGAGAAGATGCCCCTAAGTTGCAGAAATTTTAACCAAAAAATTATCCAAAACAAGATTGAAAAGTTTAAAGTATAGACTTGGTATTTCCAGCAAAAATGCCAAGGAGGAGTGTTGAAGGTTATGGCTTTCTTATTGTCACATTATGAAAATATTTTGTTTATTATTATTGTATTATGTTGCAGCCTTTTTAGTTTTAGAAGTATGAATTAGGTAGGTTAAGTATGAGATAAGTTATGAAGTATGGGTAAAAGTATGGCCAAGTATAGGATTGACAATAAACCATACTTGTGGTACTTTAATCTTTTTGTATTTAAGTGTGATCAATGAACCAAACTCCAACAAAACTAAAGATGTATCTGAGCCTGTAGTAATTGATTTACAAAGCCAAATAGGGCATAGTAGTATGGTAGGACCTAATGGTGTCATTGTTGTGGATTCTCAAGTTAAAGTTGATGATATTGGTGGAATAAGTGCAACAAATACTAAAGTGGAGGATGTTGGTAGACTAAGTGCAAAAAATACTAACATAAATGCTGAGATTGAAGATGTTGTTTTGGGTAAAGAATCTCAGAATGCAGGTGATTTAATGCTAAAGAAAATCATGAAGAATAGCAGAATGTAGGGCTTGGCAATGTTGAAGCTAGTGTGGATGGGGAACAAAATGAAGATGAAAGACAAAATAAGAGGGAATTTGTTAGAGATTCAAATATTTGAAATAGGTCATGCAATGAGGATACTAACTTTGCTGAAATGGTTAGCAACCTTGGCAAAAGAAGATGTAGAGGAAGACTGCTAGGTGTTATTTTTATAATATTTTTAATATAGCTTTTATTAGAATTTTTAGTATTTTTAATTACTTTAATTAGTTTTTATTTAGTTTTATTTATTTTTTTATTTAAAGCTTCCTTAAATTATATTAAATTATATTTTACTTGATCTTGAGGATTTTTTAGGTTTTTTTATTGAAAACTAGCCAAAAATGCAAAAGATGATTAAAAGCAAAAGTTTGGACATGACATCTAGCAAGAAGCATGCCCAGGCCGTGCTACCCAGTACCCTCGTGCTACTCTGCAGAGTTCAACTTAAATCGAGATTTCAGATTAATCTTGTGCTGCCTGCATGAAGATATTGTGGGACGTACCTTATTAAAGCTGGATTCCTATTTAGACGATGTGGGAGTTCTAATTGGGAAGAAATACAAACCATAAATAGTTTCCTATTTCCAAAAGATTTCTTGCTTAATAGAGATTCACTTTCCTAAACGAATCCGAAGATATTCCAAAAAATCTATATAAAGAGAGACTAACTATAATCTAGAGACATTCATTGTATATTCCATCTTTTGTTTAAACGAATCCGAAGATATTCCAAAAAATCTATATAAAGAGAGACTAACTATAATCTAGAGACATTCATTGTATATTCCATCTTTTGTTCTATTGTTCTCCACTATACGTAGTTTCTCTCTCTTTAAGACTTCAAGTATTCAAATTGGTGCAAAGATTCAAGGAAGCTGCTCAAGCCAATCGTTGACTAGTTTTTATTTTTAAACTCTTTTCTTGTTTATTATTCATTATGAGATTATTTACAAGTTTAATTGAGTTTAATTTATTTACTATGTCAAAATAAATCTTTTTACTAGGGATATGATGTAGCTTCAATTCAACTCCAGTTTATAATATTAGATTTGATTTTCTTTATTTAAGTAAAATTTATTATTGATCTTAATGATTCCAGGCAGAGTTTCTCCCCCTGGATTGATTTATTTCATTAATCACTGTCAAGGGAAGGGTTTTTGATATGAACATGATAATAAATTTCATGAGAGTAACAACATGATGTGAGAGCTAGATGATTTGACTCTTGGAAAGTTTTCATAAAAGTAAAAGCTTTAATTTGTGGACTTCTGAATAATCACAAGAACTTAATGATTAATCTATGTTTGGTTGCGCCATTGAGAGATGAGTAATTGAATTGGGTTAAAATAACTAATAAAACATCGAGAGAGCTTATTAGCAATATAGGATTCTTTCTCCTTCTTAAATAATTAAAATTGATTATTAAACTAATAAGATAAACCGGATAGAATTAAGTGAAGTCAAAATTCCTAATAACCTTTAAACCTTGATTTTTTTTTCAACAATTACTTGATTTCTTTCTTATTACTTTATTTTATTTTTTTTATTTTTATAATTATTCTCCTTATTGTCATTTAAATAATAGTAGGTTAATAGAAATTTGATACTTGGTATATAATCCTCGTGGGAACTAAAAAATCAACTTAGTATACCTAATGTCCATATGTTCAAACTGATGAGATGCAAAGGAAGAATTAAAATTTGAGGGACATGAATGCTTCTAACAAAGCTGAGGAGACCTCTTATTGAGATGGAACTAAATATTCAAGACTAAATGCCTAAAATACAAAAAGATGAGGACCAAATAATTAATTTTGTAAAGCCTCAAAGACTAAATAATTATTTTCCCTAATTTTAATTCTTTCTTCTATTCTCTCTATTAACTTAAGCATCAACATGATTGTAGGTCAATCCCTTGATTCAGATGCAAAGAAGAATATTTCAAAAAATATTAATTGATTCAATTTATGAGAACCAAATTATTTTTTTATTAGGAATTTATAAGACATAGAAAGGAAGGTTGCAAAAAAGATCTGTTTTATGCCTTGGATTGGAATCTCAAGCCTTATGTTCTGGATCAATTTTTGGAGCTAAATATGGAAAATAATTTCAGAAAATACTAAGTTTTAGTGGTTAAACTTATCTATTAAATACTATCTGTATTCTATAATACTTGTCACATTTAGAATTTCACGTTTCTTAATAAAACTATTAAATTTGTCTAAATTACAATAAATTATTGAATAAATTGACTATATTTAAATTATTGAATAAATTGACTATATTATTCTTAATTTAATTCTAATTATCCAAGAAAATTATTAAATTGAAGTAATAATTATTAGTACATATACAAACGGTAAACATGGAAAAAAAAAGTTATTACTCCTTGAAAAAATAAATATGACAAGTATTTTAGAACAAACTATTTTCTGAAATGTGATAAATATTATAGAACAGAGGTAAAACAAGGAGCGAAAGACATTTAATATGAATTGAAAATAAAATAGTACTCATGATACGATACGTGTAAAATATTTTTATTTGAACCAAACACTTGAGAGAAAAATCTCATTCCATTTCTGATTCCCTTCAATTATAATTGTTCCCAAGTTTTCATTACAGTTCAAAAATGGAACAAAAATAGTAATTCAATGAAGAGACATCCAAAAGGGAAGCCAAAAAAATCTTGAGTCTTAAAACAGATTGTTGGATTTTTCCGAGTTAAATCTATTCTTTTGGCATATTTTACGCACAGAGAGATTGTAAACTCAGAGTTATTGATCTCTCCATCATCTATTTAAAGCAGCCTTCCTTTTATAAATAAATGCAGTAAAAGAGAAAAAAAAGAAACTTAAAAGTGAAAATGTCACAAAATCTAGTATTCTTATTTTTCAGTCTTGTCTCAGTAATTTCATTAGTTCATGCTTCTAGTTATGGTTATAATGATGGAAGAAAGGTATAGTTATGATTGTTAAGAGGGCAAATTTCTTGATGACAAATTTGATTTTTCTTTTTTTTTTTTTTTTCTGCTACAAGTTTGTAATTTCAGTAATATTGGAATTTTTTTTTTTTTTAAAACTTCCGAGTCTAGTTGGTATCTTCACTTATCGAACCATTGAAGGTCTCGAATTCAAACTAATTAATTTATTATTATTATTATTATTATTATTTATGATGTTACTGTCATGCTATCTATTAATTGTCCCCTTTTTTTTTTTTTTTTTTTTTTTTTTTTTTGGCTCATCACAAAATAATGAATTTATGTGATTGAATACTACTGGAGCAGTTTAGAAACTTTTAGATTATGTAGTTATAAGTTAAATTATATTTATATTATTAAAATTATATTCTTAGATTTTTAGAATTTTTTAAGTAATGTTTATATTAATATTAATATTAACATTGATTAATTAGTTTCTGAAATTTAAATTATAACTTATTTTTATTATGATATTTATTATTCTAGAACATTTTTAATTGATTTTATTTTTTATTTTTACTCATGAATGACGCATATAATTTTTGAGAACCATCAGCCATATATTGTGTACATGGGAGACCTGTCCGGAGAAGGAAAGTCAGTCGAAGAAGAGCACCATAATTTGCTTTTGACAGTAATAGGAGAGTATGTAACATTTTCTCATCATTTCAATATTATATCATTTGGTTCACAAACCAAACAATAATTAAGTATTTTACATAACAACTTTTATTACCTAATTTTCCTTAAACATGTGATTGATGCTGATAATTTTGCTTTCTCGAAAACGCGTTAGGTAGAATACTGTAAAATCGACTAAATTAAGTCAAATTGATCGGTTTAATTTTTAAAAAATTTAGTTTAATTTTGGTTTTTGATAACAAAAATCAAAATAGTAAATTGAGATCTGAGTGACATGGATGTAATATTTTGTTTTTGTAGTGAGTCTATTGCAAGAAAATCCAGAATACATAGCTATGGAAGGAGCTTCAATGCATTTGCAGCAAAGTTGTTACCCCATGAAGTGAAAAGACTATCAGGTATATGTTTATGTGAGTATGATATTTAAATTTTGAAATAGCTAATAAGTTTAAAATATATGCAGAGGAAGAGAGTGTAGTATCAGTTTTTGCAAGCACAACGAACAAACTTCATACAACAAGATCATGGGATTTTCTTGGAATGACAGAAACAATAAAGAGGGTACCCAAACTCGAGAGTAACATCATAGTGGGTTTGCTGGATTCTGGTAAGAACTTGAGTTGTCTTCTTAGGAATTTTTGTTGAAGGAGTTCTTTTGAAAATACAAAAGATGCTAATACTATTTGTTCTTTCCTATTTCTTTACAGGAATTTATGCAGATTCTCCAAGCTTCAGTGATAAGGGTTTTGGGCCTATCCCACGTAGATGGAAGGGAAAATGTATTACTGGAGCCAACTTCACAAGATGCAACAAGTACATATGTTTCTACTTTTGTTTATCTTTAAGAAGTTTCACTTTCTCTAAGATAGTCCTGATGGAATCTTTGAACGGTAATTAATGACATGAAAAGGAAGGTAATAGGTGCAAAATACTACAACTTGGAGAACATTGGTAATGGGGATGAAGACCTAAGTCCAGCAGATGATGATGGCCATGGAACCCACACTTCCTCCATTCTTGGTGGAGTTGCTGTGAGAGGAGCAAATTTATATGGAATAGCAAATGGAACTGCTCGTGGTGGCGTACCATCTGCTCGCATTGCCATGTACAAAGTTTGTTGGGCTGGTGGTTGCACAGACACAGATTTACTAGCTGCTTTTGACGATGCTATTGCTGATGGTGTGGATATAATATCAGTTTCAATAGGAGGAGGCCCTAGAGCCTTTTTTGAAGATACAATTGCCATTGGATCATTTCATGCCATGAAGAAGGGAATATTAACTTCATGTTCAGCTGGGAATGGAGGGCCATCTCTATCAACTGTAGATAATGCTGCTCCGTGGATCATGACAGTTGCTGCTTCTACTATCGACAGGGAATTCCAGACTGCTTTTAAGCTTGGCAATGGCATGATAGCTCAGGTAACTTATTTTATTATGAGTGGTAGAGAGGATTTATGTTTTCTTGGGATGGAAGGGATTAATAATGTGAGATTATAATATAGAAACATACTGTGAGATTGGTGTTAAAATTTACTCTTGAGCTTGAAGCATATTGAGCAATTAACAAGTTATCAAGATTGGTGTTATTAGAATCTTACGATTCATGATTCGAATCTTATAATTCATGCGATTCTCGTGGATTCTCATGTTCAACGATTGTTTTAGCCAACAAATCAAATGGAAAAATTTAATCCAAAGAAAGAAGAGTAAAGAAATATCGATATATTGGAAGATGAAGATGATGTAGGGCTTGAATTTGGAAGTGATAGTAAATAAATTAATATGGATTTGGATAGGAAATTCTAATGGTTTTATAGTTTTACTTTTTCTTTTATTTTAAAATTTTAATTTATAGTTTGATTATTTTGAATTTGACAACTACACAACTCTTTATGTCTCTTTCATCTTGTGTTTAGAAAATGATCTAAAATTGAAATTTATATAATTACATATTTACAATTAAATTTTTAGTATATTTTCATAAAATTAATAGAAATATATCCATAAATTTATACATATGTATTTTAAATTCATGTTGAGAAATCACAATGAATCTTACAATTCGATTCTCCATTTTAAAAATAAAAAAGTGCGATTCTCGATTTGACAACTATAATCAAGATTTTTTATCCACATCCATATTGCATAATGTTTTTTGATATTTTGTCGGCAGGGAATTTCAATCAATACATTTTCACCAAACAAAATGTATCCTTTAATAAGTGGAACCCTTGCAAAAAATCTGACTGCAGAAGAGCCCTATGGAAATGCCAGGTAGAAATTCTAAAAACTCAATTGATTTTGATGATATAACTAATTTACAAGTTCCATTTAGAGCTTCTAATACTAATTCAATCTTATCGGCAATGGTGGCATAGTGCTTGTGATTTTGGGACACTGAGCATGACCAAAGTGAAGGGAAAGATTGTGTATTGCCTTGATAATGCTGGCCAAGATTACACCATTAAAGAACTGGAAGGAATTGGTGTGATCTCTACTCTTACTTCATTTAAAGACACTGCTTTCACTACTGTAATACCAGCGACCAGTGTCGATCCCAACGATGGCTTGAAGATAGATCAGTATATTAACTCAACTAAGTATGTTATGTTTTGATTTAATTTTACCAATAATTTTATTTTCCTTGCTCTATATATATATATATATATATATATATATTGTAACATGTTTTATTTGAATTGATCAAACTCTATATTTACAGGAACCCTCAAGCTATTATCTACAAGACAAGAACTGCCGAAATTAGTGCTCCTGCTTTGGCATCTTTTTCATCTAGAGGACCTCAATATCTACAAGACAAGAACTGCCGAAATTAGTGCTCCTGCTTTGGCATCTTTTTCATCTAGAGGACCTCAATCAATTACTCTTAACATCCTCAAGGTTAGTCAAAAATATATATTTGTAATTTTTAGTCTACAAACATAATTGAGATGCTCTTTGTACTGAAATAGTGTATATTGGATATATAGCCTGATTTTGCAGCACCAGGCGTAGACATATTAGCTGCCTACTCAAAATTGTCATCAGTGACAGGGGATCCAACTGATGCGAGACATACCCCGTTTAACATAATATCAGGAACATCTATGTCTTGCCCACATGCCTCTGCAGCTGCTGCTTATGTCAAAAGCTTCCATCCTGATTGGTCGCCATCCGCGATTAAGTCCGCTCTGATGACTACTGGTAACACTCTATTAAATGCTAATATGACATAGTTTGTTTATTATTAGATTAAGGACTAACCAAAGTGCCATTCTCTTTGGTTTAGCCACACCTATGAAGATTAAAGATGTTGACACGGATTTGGGGGCTGGATCAGGGCAAATGAACCCAGTAAAGGCAGTGCATCCTGGCCTTGTTTATGACATTTCAGTGAGTTCCTACCTGAGTTTCCTATGCAAAGAAGGCTACAATAGCACAACCATTGGCAAGCTAATTGGTGGGGAGAAAAAGTACAATTGTTCGAGCTTCAAACCTGCAAAAGGCACTGATGGCCTAAACTACCCTTCAATGCATTTGCAACTTAAAAATAATATGACTTCCATTTCAGCAGTTTTCTACCGGACGGTGACTAATGTAGGATATGCAACTTCAGTGTATAAAGCAACTGTGAAAGCTCCAAAGCATCTCTCAGTCAAAGTTGAACCAGAAACTTTGACGTTCACTTCATTGAAGGAGAAGAAAGATTTTAAGGTTATAGTGAAAGGTGGTCCAATGCCAAATGAGATGGAGTCATGCTCAGCTTTGCTGGAGTGGAGTGATAACATGCATTGTGTGAAGAGCCCTATTGTTATTTGCAAAAGAATTTGGTACTTAGATTGATTTTTTTTTCTTTTTTCTTTTTTTTTTTTTTTAAGAAATTGCTAAGTTAGATTCCAAATTTTTGTTTTTTTCATTAGTATTCATTATTCAGAAGAAATAACATCACTTAACATTTTGAATCCCTTTGAAACTTTCCTCTTTGCTTTGAGTTTTTTTTTTTTTTTTTTTTTTTTTTTTTTTTTTTGTTGGGATTTATGGTTTTTGTGTAGAGGAATATATCAATGGTGCACTGTGTTTGAAACTTGGCTAAATGATCTAAATAATTGATATGTTCCTTTGGATCAGTAATTGTAATTGATATTGTAGAAGGAAATGGCAGAGCAAGCTTATGCAAGATGGTAAATTAAGAGAGCTTATAATGGTTTTTTTTTTTTTTTGAAAGTTTATTTTTCAGAATAATACTAAGCAATTAATTAACAAAATTCTCAGTAAGAATATTATAAATAATGTAATAAAAGAAATAGTGACAACAATGAGAATAAAAATATAATAAATAAAAAAAACTTAAGACAAAATAATTTATGTAATTTTATTCTTAAAAAATACTAAATTAATAAATTATTTTTTATTGCTAGGTAAAAGAAAAGAAATGAAAGGATGATTTGAATTAATAATAGAAATCACTTTGGCTATGATAGCAATATTATTTACCAGTGTATCAGAGAAAGAAATATATGCATATACAAACAAATTCTTGAAACTCCAAAAAATGATTCAAATAGAACCATATAATTCTATTTTTTTTCCAGTTTCCTAAATACTATTTTCTTTTAAATCAAATAGATTTAAGATATAAGAAAAACAAATATCAAGAAAATTAAACATGCTTAATCATCAATAGACCATCTATTTATTGCAAGGGGATATACATCTCTTACTAAATTAAAATGATAATAGTTACAAATTATTCAGTAATGAAAAAGAAAATAAAAAATTATTAAAGAATAAAAACTCTTTCAAAACTCATCCGAACAAAAAAAAATTTCCAAATGTATTATAATATATAAATATATCAAATAAAATATTATATATATTTTTAAATTAAAATTTTCAACGTCAGGTTGTAAATTATGTAAATTATTATTTGAAAATTTACTTTTAAAAAATATGTCGAATGAAAAATTTTACAAAAATAAAGAAAAATATAATTAAAAATAATATTAATTTTTTTTCTTTTTTTTTAGGTAATATACATTTTCTTCTTTTTTTTATCTCGCCTTAAATTAAAATAATTTATATATTGCTATTTAAAATTTATTTTTAAAAGAATACATCCATCAAACATACAACAACATATATATTTGCTTTATTTTATCTATCCTAAAAGAATTAATATTTAATAAATAAAAATATAAAATATTTTCAAATATCTCTTTCATATTCAAATATCTCATTGTCATATATATTTATTAAAAAATAAACTTAGTAAAGATAAAATTTAAATTTTTAAATATTTAATTATCTATATATATTTGTTTAAAAAATAATTTTTTTAATTCATTAGGAGGCTTAATGGGTCGAAATACCACTACGGCCTACACAACATAAATAACCCTTCACTCACAAATTGGTGAAAACACTTGTGGTCGGGAGGATGAGTATGGTTAGAGACAAATCTAATAGAAATTAACACAAAATTAGCAAAAAAAACCAACAAACCCCCAAACAAATTTAGATCTCAATCAGAATCAAAGGAAATGAAGCTAAGAATCACTGATCTGATAAAACATTTGAGGAAAAAAAAACATACATTAAAGGAATTTTCACCGATTAAATATAAATATGACAAAACCAAAAGTAAATGTGCAAAAAAATGCTGAAAGAAGTTTAAAGAAAAAAAAAGCACAGGTCTAGTCAAATTATTATCCTCTTCTCCTTTGCAGTACAATGCACCAGGGTAATCATAAGATGATTGCCAAAAGACACCATATGTCTAGCTCTCTCTAACCCCTTTAATTAATGCCTTGAATGTTTCTGGATTAAAGAGGAATTGAGATTGGATTATCACATCTTATTTAGGTAGGTGTCTGGTGGCACAGGGGTTGAAGTGGAAGCAGCCAATTGCAATGGCAGTCATGATGGCAATGGTGTTGTAGAGGTGGAGGTGGTGGTAGGTACGAAAGGAGAGAAAAGAAAAGGAGAATTTTTTTTTTTTTTTGATAATAAAGGAGATCATAATATTATAATAAATCAAAAGCAATAAGATCTTCAATACAGTGGGGAATCATGGCCCATGAATGGAAATAAGGATGTAAACATGCCACACGAGCGAGAGCATTGCAGACTTGTTGACTTGCCTCCTAGCCCAAATCAATTCACAAGATGGATTTTGAGAAAGCAATTGTTTAATTTCTTCTAATACTGGTGCCCAATCTTAAAAAGGTTCAAAACCAGTCGTGACAGCTTGAAACAGTCGTAAGCAATCTGTTTCCAATAGAATCCTACCAAATGATCTCGCGAGCAACCAAGACAATACTTCCCTCAGACCAATGGCCTCTGCGATGTGTGGTTTTAGCACCCCGGCAAAATGACCTGCGTAAGATGCCAAAAACTGCCCAGCTTCACTCCGAATAAGGCCAGCATATGATGATCGACCCTCAGACGTCACTACAAAAAAAACGCCATTTTGCGACCGACAAATCGGTCGCAAAATGGCAAAAATCGGTCGCTATTTATACTTTGCGACCGACCGATTTTGCGACCGACAAACGTCGCTCGGCAAAATCACTGGTTCGCAGAATGCAATTGGCGACCGATGAGAAAATCGGTCTCAAATTAGAGACGATAATTCGGGGTCGCAAACATTGAAAAAAGCGTCGCAAATTTGTGGTGGGTGTGTAATTGGAAATTCCAGTCGCTTTGGTCGCCAGAATATCGTCGCAATTTTTAAATCGTCGCAAATCGCGTCTCAAATTTATAAATCAAATTTTTTTTTTGGTATCAAAATCGGTCGCAAAATCGCGGCGTCGCGAAAAATGAAAAAGGGGGAATAAAAAAAAATTAAAATTTATTTTGAAACCAGAAATTTTTCGTACCACCGTGTAGAAAGTGACATAATGCAATATATACACACAACGCAATTCAAGAAACAGTATAAAAATGTAATTTTTATTGTTCTGAACAAATTAAAAACATGAAAAATACAAATGAAAAAATAAAAGGTCGGAAATCAAATCTTATTTATGCTGCTGCTCATCTGCAGGATCCGGATGTTCGGACCGCCGGAGGAGTACCTGCTGGATGTGATGTTAGCGCCAGGAGGAGTGAGCAAGGTATCGCCTGCAGCATCGGGAATCAGGGAGCTGATAGTGGCTGCTGCTGTGAGACGTCGATAAACATGTTCGGTCGTGATGTAGCAGGCGCAGGATCAGAGGAAGGAAGAAGGTACCAGCCAGCGTCCTCACCGGACAGCCGCAAGCACATGCGACCGGACAGCCGCATCACATGCGCTCTATGTTCTGCAATCTGTCTCTGCTGATCATCAACATGAGCCCGTAATTCAGTAAACTCCTCGGCAGTGTGCTCGGGCTGTGGTCATGCGCTGTGTGCAGAAGCGTGAGATGCCGAGTCGCAGTAAAACTGTGATGCCTGAGACCCGATGCGTATACCTTCCTCTTCTTCTCGCCCCCTACAGCCTCGAGATAAAGTGCTATCTCATCAATTCTTGACTTAACTTCAGATTCATCAGTCTGAGAAGAAACAAGACGCTCCCGAGCTGTAGTATAGTTTGAAAATAAAAAAATTAATTAATCAATGCAATTGCAAGCTTTATGTATATTGAACTTTGTACATTCTTCGCCAATGATTAGAGGGTAAATGTAAATATTATATTCATTGTTACTTACATTGACGCTCAGCGCACGTCTGTCGACAAACGTATTAAGATCGTGGTCCTTCGTGTGAGTATATGTAAACACCTCAATCGGTGTTGGCTCACGACATCGGTGTGGGCTCACGACCTAATTCTTTAGCCTGTAATGAATTTTTATGCATGATATATTAATATATATATTGTCCTTTCATTAAACATCAGTTTCTTGCAAAGGGACTAGTTCACTTACTAATAATCGAGCTGTCTCTATAGCAGATATAGATCCGCCTGTGTGTCGCGAAGGTCCTGCTCCATCCCCGCCAGTCTCACTGCGCCTGTTTTGTGCAAACATCTCCCGCTTTCTCTTGAATGCAGGATCCTCCCAAGCCTTTTGCCAGCTCTCCCATATCTCCTGAGACACGCACCGTTGTTTCTTACCGCTTCTTCTCATCCTATAGGTGAAGTCAGCGTATCGATCGGCGCATATCTTCTCCCAGGCTACTTTCAGCATAGCCGTAATGTCCCATATGAAAAGTTTCTTGCAAAAAAAAATGAATATAGCGTTTAAACACTAAGGATTTTATCTTTGAATTAGTAAACATGCAATTGATTGATATAACTTAAACCAAAGGTACCTGGAACTCCTCCCCCAATAAAAGTCTCTCGCCTCTTGTGGGTACGGGCATCCCATTGTGTATCCTTCTTTATGCACTGTAGCTGATTATCTATCAAAAATTTGGCCTCGCTTGCTTGAGAAGATGGATATATGCTGAAATAAAAAAAAAAACAGAAGTGAAATATAATTACACAAAGCATTCACAGAGATGAACAAGTTACAAAATATAATTACAAATATGCCTACAGAAAAATCTGAATAAGTACTTACTGTCCCGCTACCCAAACTGAGGGTGATACGTGGGATCTGGATGAAGCACGTGGATCTGATGAAGCTGCAAAAGAAGTGAGAAATGTTATAAATTTGTAGATAATTAATATATAATTAAAATGACAGTTATGACATTTATGATTACCTTGCACAGTAGGTGACTGTGCAGCTAGTGGAGTCTGTAATGGTCCAGAAACGGGGGTAGAAGAGGAAGGAGCAGAAGGCTGTGATGGCGGCATTACTGGACGCTGAGCAGAGGATCAAGCCGCAGACGTACCTGAAGAAGGATGTGATGGCGGCAGTACTGGTCGTTGAGCAGATGACGAAGCACTAGACGTACCTGAAGAAGGATGAGGGATCGACGGGACGAGGGATCGACCCTACTCTCCGACGTGCACGCGTCCACGGTACACGACCTCCTACGCGAACCACGTTGCCGGACGCGTCAGAATCAAACGCTCTGCCTCTCTAGCCATCTTGTACTGCATGATGATCAGAACCTAGGATAAACGATGAATTACTATACAATTATATGAGTTTGTCTAATAGAAAACATGTGGTTACAATATCGAGATAAACAAAGTGGCAATACCCATTGAAATTCTGGCATTTAATAATATTAATTGCATATACATTTAATTCAATTTCTAGACGTAGTTAAAATTGCTCTAAGTTTAAGTGTCTTCAAATATCATCTTTGCTTCCTTCCTCCTCTTCATCAGCTTCCTTCTTCTTTCATATTCGTGGTGCTCTTCTGAAGGTACCATGTATGATCTTGATCTTCTTCTCTTCAATTCATCTGATTATACCTATTTTCAAACATTAAGCATCGGCCTTTCTCATGCCAACCTATTTTCAAACTCTTCACAACTCTGCATCGAGTTGGTTTCATAAACCCCTAAGCTTCTTTGGAAAATGCCTCCGATTTACTGGCGAGTGAAAAAAGACTGTTTCAGTTTTCAAGTGAATCGGATATTAGTGTTAATGAAACCAACTGATCTTAGCTCTTGATTTTACACACTTTTGCCATTACCAATCGTAATCTGTAATCTACGTTTAAAGATGGATATGGGACATTTAGTAACACATGTGTGCAAGCTATGTGCCTATGTGCCTCCAGAAACAGAACTGGTTGCGTAGCGTATTACGTCCAGATAATAATTGTCTTCTTCTTTGATTAATAGTCAAACCTAGATGATATGCTCGTATTTACTTAGAGTGGAATCCTTCGTGCCCAATGTTGTGGCGTAGCAGGAGTACAAACACAAGTGATCGAGCAGATATTTTGGAGGGTGTGGAAATCATATTGACCGTTCTTTTTTGTAGATTATCCCTTATCGTGGCGTCACTTGGTTAGATTATATCCTTCTCATATAGAGCAATCCAGGAGATCCAACCATGGTTTCTAGAGACACCATTGATGCTCGTTAGTAAAAAAGTACTACTGGTCAACACACCTCCTTTTGTAGTTTTGACTCCTTTCATTGCACACACCGCTTCTGATTCATTGTCTTTCTTGCTTTATCCATTCAATCTCACATTCAAAGTTCCTGTGAAACTATAGATAAAACCGGAACTTTACTCAAAGTAGCCAGTTAGTAGTGGGCATTTAGCAAACCTAGCGTAATGGCCACCTTTGTCCAGGATGCCGTAATAAATTTGTTTAATAATATCTCTTCCCGAGCTTTCGAGGGTCCTTAGTTTGGGAAAGGTAATAAAGTATATGACATGTAGTCAAATTAATTAAATGTTATCCATTATCCGTGTTGTGTACATTTGAAAGTAACCTTACATTGAATATTGTGCAAACCATTATTGCAAATTCCTGTGTGTCCAGTGCTTTGCATCAACTTGCTTTCTTAGTATCAGTCAAATTTGAGATTTTGAAGGCCGCAGAAGATTGATTATATTCCCTATTTATTGAACAACCATATTTAGCATAAGTACTTACTTTAACGAACGGCCCAACATCAAAGTTACTAGAATGTTTACCATTATTCGGTATACTTACTGTACATAATTAATGGTCGTGATCTCTTCGCAATTCAATAAAATATAGGTTTTGACCGACTATGTATCTTCATTCCGAGTGCATCAGTCAATCGTCTTTTTTTTTGATTTTTACCAATCGTCAACGCTCAGTAGGTAGGTGGAAAATTTTTAGACTTTTCCTTCAAACTCAGAATGATTTGAAACGCGCATCTCTCTTCCAGTCATACGTTACGTCACGGCACGTCATAAGCCGATTTGCTTGGTGAATACACCATTGTTGGTTCATTTTCAATAGGTTAGTCGCGTAACAGGAACTTTGCTGAAGCTGTCAAAGTAGTGTGAACAGAATGTGGAAGCTTCTTCCACCAAATATGCATTGCAAATGGATCCCTCGACCTTTGCCTTATTGCGCACATTTTTTTAAATTTTTTGCAGGTGTCTGTCATTGTACAATGCCAATATGTAAGTATAAGTTCAAATAAATGATGTAATCATTAGAATGAGATGTTATTGAGTCACCTCTTAAATGGATACATCCATCGATATTGTACCTGTCCTGCTAAATGACATTCATAGGGCAAATGAATCGGCAGATGTTCCATAGAATCAAAGAAGCCGGGTGGAAAAATTCGCTCCAACTTGCACATCACAATTGGGATTTTCTCGCGCTAATTTGGTCCATATGCATCGCATCGGATAAAACAGTCATCGTCAATTCTTTGAAAAAACAGGACTCCATTCTTCGATTGCTTCCAAATTTTTCCTGCAGTTAGATAAATCTCCGGTTATATTGCCCCACAGGAATCAATCTTTGCATGAAAACAACATGGCAGTCATGGCTTTTCATGCCACACAAATCTTACTTCCTTCCACTGTCACACATCTACCCATATTCCACTAGCATATGAAACGAGTACCATCTGGAAACGTTTATTCTGATCTATCCATTTTTTGTCACACTCTCGACTTTGGGGGTTTATCTAAACAATAAATGCACTTCAGGAAACATACCTTACGCCAGTATAGTAAGTTTGCTATTCGGATGTTCTGGTCGATCGAGAAAACAAAATTTCCTTCATGCCGCTCTTGTTTGCATTATCCGTTGGTTTTCCCTTCAATGTTCGTGTGACGGAGTTGTTGAACAGATTTTCCAACCACCATTTTTTCTTATGTGCATTTTGAAGCATTCAAAGTTTATACGAATTTAAGAAGGAATAACTCCAGTTTATTGCAATCCAGAAGATGCTTCTGGCTGTTTGTCCACCCGCAGGGGCATTTATTTTCCTGGCCAATTATTTTTTTACCTTCATCGCGACCCAACTCGTAACTTTCATCAGCCCCAAACATCTTCTCATAGTTTATATTATTAATTATTTCTGCTCTCTAGGACTTCACAGGTGGAGGGTTTCAACAATAAGTGTGGGTTTTTTCTTAAAGGCTTAATATTGTCGGACTGTTCTCCTGTAATATTTGTGCTCCAGACTTCACAGGTGGAGGGGGTTCAACAATAGTCGTGTTCTTTCTAAAGCATTGTCGATTTCTCCTCCAAGGGTGAGATTCTCGTAAGAATTTGCGATGACAATCAAACCAACATTGTTTACCTCCATTCTTTAGTGTAAATGCATTAGTGTTTTCCATGCAGTGAGGACAAACCAATTTGCCAGCCGTACTCCACCCAGATAACATTCCAAAAGCTGGAAAATCACTGATGGTCCAAAGCAAAGCAGCTCGCATTATGAATTCTGATTGGTCGAAATATCGAATGTTTCAACCCCATATTCTCATAAATAATTAAGTTCAGCAATCAAAGGCTGCAGAAACACATCAATTTTATGTTTTGGATTAGTAGGCCCAGGAACAATAACACACAAAAACACATATTATATTCATCTTTTCATTTACACCGAATAATCCCAATGGATCAGAA